AGTTCACTTAAAAGTAGATGGGCTCATGATGTTTTCTCATGAAAACTAGATTAGTTGCCTGACCTCAGTTATTTAATGCATACTCAAGTCTTCAAAGATTGATATTGAAGAAAGCTAATAGCACAAAACGGTATTACCCTTCAAAAATGAAGGGGGCATCTGTATAATTGAAGTTGGTTTCTACAATTTCAGATCTTGTATAGTCCGTAGGCTCTGAGGCTCTTCTTTCACAGGTTTCAGGGTTACAAGGTTTTGAAGATGATGAACAACCTTCAGAAAATGATTTACAAATGCCATGTCTCAATGATCTTATATGCTGTCCAGCAGAAATGACCAGCAAATCATCTGAGTATCTATCAGCATCTCTGACCGCAAGATCCTCTGCAATAACATTATAAGAAGATGCATGAGTGTGCATACATGTAAGCATCGTAGAAAGAACTCACCAATAAATTGAATTAATCGACGACTTATATAACTAGCCAGTGTCAATAGACGGGTGAAAATGTCATCCATTGATGAGTAGAATCCCAGACTATCAAAAAGAAGACTTGTGTTCCACACAGTATCATTATAGGCCTGATACAAGGACCTATATTAGATCTTTAAGCACAAGGTCTGAATCAAACTGACAAAACAAAAGATGCCAAATTGAAACTTCAAACCCCCAAAACCTTATTCCTTATGTGGGATAACATAAAAAAGAAATAAAAAAAATCGATAAGCTAATTATAATTTCTTAGCTAATCTTGATCAAGAATAAGAAAGTTACAGTAGAGAAGAGATACAACAAACATACAGAAAAAGTAGAGATAATTTGCAATAAGGCACAATCGTAAAGTTGAAAAGTACTCACTGCAAGAGGCATTTCAGATATTTCATTTTCAATATAGACATCACCCATTAATTCTTCGAATCCTGAATTATGCAACAAAACTATTAAGGTGATACAACAAGACAACTTAAAAGGACGAAACTTTGACACAATCAGTATATAACAATAAGAACCCAGATGAGTAAATCAATCATATGATGAGAAAAACACAACAAATCAACCCCATTCTTTCAACATACTGAACTTAAGTAACTCATCATCAAAACAAAATGTAATAAAGATATCAGATAGCAACTTACAGTCAAAGAAGGACAATCTGCAGAACCCAGAAACAGCCTGTGGCTCAGCAGAAGCAAAGCCAATTTAATTTATAGAGGGAAGAAGAGAAGGAACAAAAATCTGCAGACCCCGTTTCCAAGGAAGTTTAAACTTGCTAAACATGAGCTGCCATAATTTTGAATCCCATCAATAAACATAGAAGAAAATGAAATGAAAGAATAGACTAAAAGAAAGTGGCTGCAGAAATGTGTCTGCAATGACACAATATTGCTGGGGTCGAAAGGTGGTGCATCTGATACAGTTCTTGCTCGAAATATCGGCTTCAACGAAGAAAATGGCACACGTACCTGGGAAAAATGCGACAGACCCACCCTGGCACCCAGACCCTAAACCCTAAAGAACCAGACCCGCCTATCTCCGCATAGCTCCTCCTAGACCCGCCTAGCGCCGCCTAGACTCGCCTAGCGCCGCCTAGACTCGCCTAGACCCTCCTAGTGCAGCCCAGACCCTCCTAGCGCCGCCCTGACCCTCCCAGGCCGCCGAGGTCGATTTTTCAAACCCCTCCCGATGACTATTTGTTTGCACAGGTCTATCCCGGCTAAATTTGCAAGATTAGATCTCTCCCGACGAAAGTTCGTCGGCAAAAGTAAATTTCGTTAGAAGAGGTCTAATTCAGCAAATTTCGCTGGATATACCTGTGCCAATGAACTTACGTCGGGAGAGGTTTTCTCGCTTTTTTTTAAAGAAAAACAATAAATTTTTGAATTTTTAACATTTAAAATTAGTTTTTTTACTTTTTTAGTTTAATATATGTAATTAAGGGGTGTATTCAATTGGAATTTTATAATACTATTTTGGGATGAATAAGTCTTGTGGTATTCAATTAAAACTTTTAAATAATCTAAACAAGTCTTGTGGTATTCCATTAAGACTATTAAGATTTTTAAATGAGGGTGTCGAAATCTAGTGATATTCAATCAAGACTTTAAACAAGTAACAAAAAGTTTTGTGATATTCAAAAACTTGCTAATTTCGACATATTGTTTTAAATGTGAGATTGTGAGAGATTTTTTAATGGGAGGTATAAATACCAAGCCCTATCTCAAATCTCACCCTAACCCATCGGATTTTTCATGTGGGATTTTCTCTCTCTCTCTCTCTCTCTCTCTCTCTCTCTCTCTCACTACCGGTTGAAGAATATGAACAACAAAGCAAGCAGCAAGCCCAAGTCGAGCTTTTCCCAGACACTCACCAACTTCAGATGCTAAAAATAACAACGAGGAATAGCTTTTCTCAGCCAATTCCTCAGCCTTTCTCAGTGGTTTTGAAACTGGTTTTCGTGCACTGAACGTCCCTACCTTGTTCCCAGCAGGTCCAAGCACTGGCCTTGACTCTGAATCAGCCACATTGATAGACCTTACTTTTGGAGCTCTTAACATTAGTATCACTCCTTTGGCTGAACACCAAATTCTCCAAGGATCTCAGCCTTTTTCCCCACTCATAATCAAAAGAAAGATAAAATACACACTTCGAATTCAACCAGAATATGGGTTTGCCCGAGCAACCAATATGATCCAACAAACCCTCAATTGAATACACCCCCCTGAGTAGTCTTTTAAAATCCATTGGACTTATTTATCCATAAATAGTCTTTTAAAATCTCAATTGAATACACCCCCCTATAAGTAATATCTTAGCCTTTCTTAATTACCTTAATTAATAATTATGTTTTAAGTATTATGTCTTTGGTAAATATTTAAATATTTTACTCATTTCATAAATTACTTAATAAATAGTAATTAATTATTTTAAATTATTTTGTGGATTTTTTTTTATAAAAAAACAAAATTTATATAAAATTAGTTTGTGGACATTATGGCCATTCTACGTTGGATTGCTACAATCGTCTCAACTTGTCGTATGTAGGTCGGGTGCCTACTCAACGCCTTATTGCCATGACTGCTCAACAATCCTCGTCCTCCTAATTGGGTTGTGGATACTGGGGCCAACTCTTATATCACCTATGATCTGGGTAACTTGTCTCTTTCCCTAGAATATCATGGCCATGATTCTGTTGATGGTGTGCTTGGTGGAGTAGGTTTGCCTATCACCCATATTGGCTCCTCTAGTCTTCCTCTTAATAACTCTATTTTTTCTCTTATTGATATCCTTCAATGCCTCACTGCTTCTTGTAATTTGTTGTCCGTTAATAAATTTTCATGGGATGATAATTGGCTCTTCACGTTTTATCCCCAATCATTTTTTGGTACAGGATTCTCGGATAAGGAAGACTCTTTTCCAAGCCACGAGTAATCTTGGTCTCTACTCTTGGTGTTCGTGTTGTTGGTCCTGTTTGGCATTCGCGCCTTGGTCATCCTTCGTTTTGGTACAGGATTCTCGGATAAGGAAGACTCTTTTCCAAGCCACGAGTAATCTTGGTCTCTACTCTTGGTGTTCGTGTTGCTGGTCCTGTTTGGCATTCGCGCCTTGGTCATCCTTCATCTCCTATTTTAAAAAATGTATTGTCTACAAATAAGTTGTCTATTGATGGTACTAAGACTTGTAATAATTTTACTTGTCATTCTTGTCCTTTAGGGAAAAGTGTTAAGCTACCATTTTAGTCTTCTTTGTTTGTTACACATGCTCCTCTTGACCTCATTCACTCTGATGTATGGAGTTCGTCTAATAAATCAGTTTCCGAATTTCAATATTATGTTCTTTTCGTTGATAATTTTTCTTGCTACTCGTGGATATTTCCTATGCGCTTGAAATTTGAGGTTTTCTCTTTGTTTGTTAATTTTAAGACGCTTGTTGAGAATTTATTTTCTACTTAAATTAAAGCCCTTCAAACTGATGGAGGTGGTGAATATACTAGCCGTAGTTTTCATAAATTTGTAGTTACTCATGGTATTGACCATCGCATTTCTTGTCCCCATCACCCTAAACAAAATGGTTTGGTAGAACGGAAACATCGTCATATTGTTGACACTAGGCTTACCTTGTTGGCCCATGCTTCCATGCCTCTTGCCTATTGGGCTGAGGCCATGCATATTGCTATGTATTTAATTAATCGTCTTCCTTACAAAGTTTTGGGCCTTCAGTCTCCATATCAAATTCTTTTTTCATAAAGAACCTAACTTTGCTTTTCTTAAAAATTTTGGGTGTGCATGTTTTCCATATCTTCGGCCTTACAATACTAATAAACTTCACTTACGATCTGTTAAGTGTGTCTTTCTGGGCTACTCATTAGATCATCAAGGTTATCGTTGTTTAAACTTAACCACTAACAAAGTCTTTTTATCACGCCATGTTATTTTTGATGAACATTGCTTCCCCTTTCAAGAGACCAAGGGCTCTCATACCCCAATTTCTTCTTTCTCTGCTGCAGATTCTGCACCACCATTACAAATTTTTAGGTCTATTCCCAACCAGCAGGCTGCCTCGCAGCCCCATGGCCACCAAATTGTCACGCCTACCTCTCCCAACCCATCCTTACCCTTGCCAACCCACATATCCTTTAGCCCACCCTTATCTTCTCCTTTGCCCAATGCCACCAATACTCCCACAGCTGTTGCCTCGCAAACAACCCAACACTCCCCACCTAGTTCTCTCCAAGTTTACCGTCGCAATCCACATAGGGCCATCCTCACTTTTCCCTCTCATGACCTTGAACTTGTTTTACCAAGTTCCTCAAGACACTCATCACCTTCGGCATCTTCTCGGGAAAGATCTTCTACTACTCATTCTATGGTGACTCGTGCTAAAACTGGTCTTCATAAGCTCAATCCTAAATATGAAAATCATGCTTTCTTGGACTCTACTAATGATATTGTTGAGCCCACTTGTTTTAGTCTGGCTAATAAATTTCAGGAATGGTGCACAGCTATAGGAGAAAAATTTAATGCTCTTCAACGAGCCGGTACTTGGGTCCTTGTTCCTCCAAAGCCCACCTTGAATGTTTTGCCAAATAAGTGAGTGTTTGGCATCAAACGCAATTCCGATGGCTCTATTCAATGTTACAAGGCCCGTTTAGTGGCTAATGGTTTTCATTAGCAAGAAGGGTTGGATTATGGCGAGACATTTAGCCCAGTTGTGAATCATTCCACCATCCATCTTATCTTAGCCTTATCTGCTCAATTTCAGTGGCCCGTTCGTCAGTTGGACGTTCAGAATGCTTTCCTCCATGACTATCTATATGAGGAGGTTTATATGTGTCAACCTATTGGGTTCATTGACCCCCAATTTCCTAACCATGTTTGTCATCTTAAGCATTCTCTCTATGGGCTCAAACAAGCCCCTTGGCCCTGGTTTAGTCTGGCTAATAAATTTCAGGAATGGTGCACAGCTATAGGAGAAAAATTTAATGCTCTTCAACGAGCCGGTACTTGGGTCCTTGTTCCTCCAAAGCCCACCTTGAATGTTTTGCCAAATAAGTGAGTGTTTGGCATCAAACGCAATTCCGATGGCTCTATTCAATGTTACAAGGCCCGTTTAGTGGCTAATGGTTTTCATTAGCAAGAAGGGTTGGATTATGGCGAGACATTTAGCCCAGTTGTGAATCATTCCACCATCCATCTTATCTTAGCCTTATCTGCTCAATTTCAGTGGCCCGTTCGTCAGTTGGACATTCAGAATGCTTTCCTCCATGACTATCTATATGAGGAGGTTTATATGTGTCAACCTATTGGGTTCATTGACCCCCAATTTCCTAACCATGTTTGTCATCTTAAGCATTCTCTCTATGGGCTCAAACAAGCCCCTTGGACCTGGTTTAAATGTTTCTCCACTCATTTGGAAGATTTGGGCTTCACTGCTTCCAAGGCCGACTCTTCTTTATTCATCTATCTTAATGGGTCCATTCGAGTTTATTTATTAATTTATGTTGATGACATTTTAATTACAGGCAATGACCCAGCCCACATCTCCACACTCATTCAAGACTTGAGCCGTCTTTTCTCCATGAAGGACCTCGACCCTATTCATTATTTTCTGGGCATGGAAATTCTTCGCACTCCTAAAGGGCTTTCTCTCACTCAATCCAAATTTATAAAGGACTTGTTGACGCGCACAAAGATTCAGGACGCCAAACATATTTCATCGCATATTGCCAGTGGACGTCATCTTAGCCTCCATGATGGTGTTCCATTGGATGATCCCTCTGAGTATTGAAGTGTCATTGGTGCATTGCAATATCTCACTCTCACATGCCCTAATATTGTTGGCCCTGGTTTAAATGTTTCTCCACTCATTTGGAAGATTTGGGCTTCACTGCTTCCAAGGCCGACTCTTCTTTATTCATATATCTTAATGGGTCCATTCGAGTTTATTTATTAATTTATGTTGATGACATTTTAATTACAGGCAATGACCCAGCCCACATCTCCACACTCATTCAAGACTTGAGCCGTCTTTTCTCCATGAAGGACCTCGACCCTATTCATTATTTTCTGGGCATGGAAATTCTTCGCACTCCTAAAGGGCTTTCTCTCACTCAATCCAAATTTATAAAGGACTTGTTGACGCACACAAAGATTCAGGACGCCAAACATATTTCATCGCATATTGCCAGTGGACGTCATCTTAGCCTCCATGATGGTGTTCCATTGGATGATCCCTCTGAGTATTGAAGTGTCATTGGTGCATTGCAATATCTCACTCTCACATGCCCTAATATTGCCTATGCTGTGAACCACATCTGCCAAT